GGGTGGCTACAGGTCAGCCCGGTCCCAGAGTGAGGACATGTGGAGCAGAGCCTCTGGTGCCCCCTGATGGACATGTAGCACAAGAAAGAAATGAACTCTGTTGTTATAGGCCACTAAGATTTGGGGTGTTTGTTACAGTAGCATTGACCTAACTTATCCTTACTAATTAAATAAATTGGGCATTTATCCTTCCACTCCATGCTGTTATATATTTTTTAATCACATATATAATATCCATAAACAATGTATTACATTGTTTTGGTTTTTAAAAGTACACGTATGGTGGGGTGCCTGGGTGACACAGTGGGTTAAGCATCTGCTTTAGGCAGGTCATGATCTCAAGGTCCTGGGATCGAGCCCCACGTTGGGCTCCCTGCTCAGCAGGGTGTCTGCTTCTCCCTCTCCCTCTGCTTCTCCCCCTGCTCGTGCTCTCTCTCAAATAAATAAATAAAATCTTAAAAAAAAAGTACACTCATGGCTTCATGCTGTACGTATTATTCCGCAACCTGGTTCTTTCACCCAACATTGTCTCTTGAGGTCTCTCCATGCTACTTTATGTATCTCTAGCTCATTGCTGCTAGTTTTGAAGAGTATCCTATTGCACAACACTATTTACTTATCCTTTCCCCCCTCTGGATGGACATTCACAGCAGGGCCAATTTTTTATGATTACAAATAGTGCTTCAGCGAATGTCCTTGGACATATCTCCAGGTACAAATGTGTGAGAGTTTCTCTAGGATATATTCCAAGAAATGGAATTATCAGGTGGGAGGGTGTGCTCATTTTCAACCTCACCAGTTGCCAAGTTGCTCTCCAAAGTGATTATAGCAACAATACTTAGTAAAATTTTCCTTCTTTTTTTCTTTTCCCAACTACCGTCCCCACGCATTACAACTGCCTCCCCACTTTTCTCCATAACCACTCCTGGACTCTCAACCCTCCACCACGGAAACTCTCCTCCAGCCCATACCCCTACTCCAGCTCCTACAAAAGCCCAAGAACTGGTCTGGCAAGGCCTGAGTGAGGACAAGGGAGGAACTGAGTCAAGCAGAGCAGACACCTCTGCATCACAAGGGTGTGGGGGGAGGATGAGAGAACTTCTGGAAACAGCATATGATCACCATTCGTGTTGAGTCAGACAGATAGTGCCAGGTGACATGTAACAGGTGTTCTCAGACCACAACAGGCCACTACTTCTTCCCAATGGGTCAGGGAAGGACCCTTGGACAGTTTCCTGAAATAGTGTTAGGATAAAGGGCAGTCAGACCTGTAAAATTCAACCTTGTGGCTGGGTGGTAGACCCTCAGGGGCCCTCCACCCAGCCTCAGAGGGAGGCTAACTGCTGACACCCTCCTCACAGGTGGGCAACAGGGAGTTAGGAAATCTGGCTTAAAAGTGTCAACAATTTGGGGTGCCTGGGTGGCTCAGTTGGTTAAGCGACTGCCTTCGGCTCAGGTCATGATCCTGGAGTCCCGGGATCGAGTCCCGCATCGGGCTCCCTGCTCGGCGGGGAGTCTGCTTCTCCCTCTGACCCTCCTCCCTCTCATGCTGTCTCTCATTCTCGCTCTCAAATAAATAAAATCTTTAAAAAAAAAAAAGTGTCAACAATTTGATCAGTAATTCAGTGTTCTTTTTTTAATCTTCAAGTCTTGACGATTCAAATCTTTTAAAAACCATATAGTCAATAACTTAATTTTTTAAAAAGATTTTATTTATTTGAGAGAGAGAGAGCACAAGCAGGGGGAGGGGCAGAGGGACAGGGAGAAGCAGACTCCCTACTACGCACATGGGGCTTGATCCCAGGACACTGGGACCATGACCCGAGCCAAAGGCAGACGCTTAACCCACTAAGCCACCCAGGCACCCCAATAATTTAATTTTTTGAGTAATCATTAGAGTGTGAATGCCAACAACTTTTTTTGTTTTCTAAATCATGAAGAAAATCTACCTTTTGAAAAAGCACAATGTCAACACTTTATTTTTTTTATAATTTTTTAAAGATTTTATTTATTTATTTATTTGAGAGAGGGAAAGTGAGAGAAAGCATGAGTGGGGGGCACCTGGGTGGCTCAGTCGTTAAGCGTCTGCCTTCAGCTCAGGTCATGATCCCAGGGTCCCGGGATTGAGCCCCACATCGGGCTCCCTGCTCAGCAGGAAGCCTGCTTCTCCCTCTCCCACTCCCCCTGCTTATGTTCCCTCTCTCACTGTGTCTCCCTCTGTCAAATAAATAAAATCTTAAAAAAAAAAAAAAAAGCAAGCATGAGTGGGGAGAGAGGCAGACTCCCCGCTGAGCAGGGAGCCCCATGCGGACTCGATTCCAGGTCCCTGGGATCATGACCTGAGCTAAAGGCAGACGCTTAACTGACTGAACCACCCAGGAGCCCCATCAACACTTTAATTCCCTTCGGAATATAAAGGATCAGTGCTGAGTTGCCTTCTCCTTAATCACAAGGTGTCAATAATTTTGTTCTCATTTAAAACTCATTAACATGTCAATAATTCTTTTTTCTTTAATCATAAAAAGAGTCAACAATTCCATTCTCCATTCCTTTTTCATAACATTCATATTGGCTGCATTTTACGAACTTCCCCTTTGGGAGATTTTAAACAACCACCCACATCATTCCCTGTCTCTTACACAGCTATTGATATCTTCTTGGTATGCCTCCTTCCACTTCCTTTTCTTTACACTCAGAAAACCCATCAACAGTTAGATCGATGGACATAGAGAGCAGCTATGGGTATTCTGTGGCAGGCATGGACAGAGGAAAATGACCCCAACTTGGGCCAGGCCCTTGATGAGCCCAGAGTCTGGCTGGGAATCTGATAGGTACACCCAAGCAGGGATGGAGGCTTGACTCGATGTTCTAACAAGGCCCAGAGTGATGTGGGGCCTAAGGAGCTGGAGTCACTTTGGGATGGGAAGATTTGAGCTCTAGATGGCCCTTACATCCAGATGATTGAGGCATCAAGCGATTCCTATCAAATGTGACTCTGTCACACCTTCTTTTGTCAATGAACACCAAAAACATAGTTCTGAGAAACTGTTTGAGGCCATGTCAGTGAGATGAAAAATTCCACTCTTGTCCAGTGGGTCAGAGCCAGATTTGGATTACCAAGCCAGATGCAGAGCTTCCAATAAAAGGTTTCTGGACACGACAGTCCACATTTATCTTAACTTTGTGGTATCAAAGGATACAGGACTATGAGTCTACTTCTCATCTCAAGCTAGATGCTAACCCCTTTCTACAGGGCCAGGTTTGCCTTGAGCCTATCAACACTGCTTCATTTCAATTTCACCTAAATTCCAATCTTCCCTCAAATCCTACAGTAACCCTGTTTCTTCCTTTATTTCATGAGACACCCATGGTTTCTCTGGGTGCTTGAGGCATCAAGTTAATAATCCTAACTTTGTTAAACTACACCTGTGTCCCTCATGGTCTTTACCAGGTTGGTATTATCATAAAATTCAAGCCTTCTCTGTTCATTCATTCACTCATTGATTCATTCGATAAACGTTTATCCAGCCTATGCTCAGTTTTAGTTGCCAGAGACATGGTGATGGGATAGTCAAGGTCTTTAGCCCTGTGGCCACTGCTTTGAGTGAGTGAGACAGAAAATAAACAGATAATAATACAGAGTAACAGGCTACAAAGGGACTGCGTGGATGCCTTTAGAAGGGGGTGGGGGACAAGAGTAAAGGCTGCTCGAGAGAGGCTACATCTGAACTGGAACCTGGATGAACATATGTCAGGAAAGGGCACCACAAGCAGAGATAACCAAAGAGGTGAAGAAGAGTTTCCTGGGTTTGCAAAATAACTAGAAGGCCAGTGTGCCTGGAGCAGAGTGAGTGAATAGGAGGGTGGGGAAAGATGAGGCATGTGGGGCAAAGCACAAAGCTTACATTTTTATCCTGAATGATATGATAACCTTAGAGCCACAACATAAATACTTTTCATATAAATTTATAAACCTTTAAATATGGAGCTGCTCTGGGACCTAAAGCACTGCCCCGTCTCCCAACCCCACCCCACCCCAGCAGTTTTCTGAAGCATTCCTAAGGAACCTAAGAATTGGATGGGGGTGGGGGGAAGGCAACTAGAAGTCCTTAATGTAGTCCAACCCTCTCACTTTACAGATGGGGAAACCAAGGCTGAGAGGAGGTGAAAGGTGGAAACTGCCCTGCAGGAGTGAGCGCGAGAAGGACCACAGTCCCTAGTGGAGGTAGGACTAAGGGCACCGCAAGGAGCTCTGGTTATCCAACCATCAGCTGGCGTATCTGCCAATCTGGAGGTTTACTGACCTGCAGTGGCAGTGTAGACAAAAGGCTCATCTTCTCTTCCCCAGGGACATTGGCTGGGGGTGAGGTGGGGTGGAGTGGGGGGTGTGGGAGGTTAGGGTGGAGGGTAGGGAGGGTTGGGACAACCCAGCAGGGGTCTTTGGAAGTGCCCCTCTTAATTCCTTAGCCTGTCCCATTTGGATAGGGCAAATGGGTGGAGAGATAGCTGGGCCACCTGAGCGCCTTTCCCTAGGCCGAGTCCCTTCCCCTGCAGGGTTATGAGCAAGGACATGGAAGGGCTGCCTCGGTTAGCATCTTTGCACTTCCTCTCACAGACTGTGCTATTTTAACGTGTGCTCCCGACTCAAATCCAGGCCAAACCCAGCCTCAAACCAGCAAAGCGTGACTTCAAATCTTCAGTTCTTAACCGTCAGCAATTGGAAAGTCTTGGGGAAAAGCACACAGGGCTAAGATTGAGCCTTCCATACACAGGACAGACAGACTGGCAAACCCACGCGGACACATGCCCACTTCCGTCTGGGTACACCGAGGAAGGGGTACTTTAAATAGACCGTGCCCACTGCCTCCCATGGAGTGATTCCACGGGGCGCCACACAGGACCACTGTTCCCTATCAGCAGCCACCCAGCCCTCTATTCTGGTTTCTCTCCTCTGGGTGGTGCAAAGGCTCAAGGGTGTAACACCAGGGTGGGGCGCTGAGTCAGCTGCGGGCGGGCTCCCGGAGTGTCTCAATTCCCGCTTCGACCTCTTTCCACTTTGCAGCTGGGCAAACTGCGGCTTAAAAAATCAGCGAACTTCCCCGAAGCGGAGAAGCTACCTAGGCGGTACCAAGAGCTCCGCACTGTAGAAAGAACGGAGGACTGAGGAAGGCCCAAAGCCCACCACGGGTTAAAACCACGGAGCTGCGGAGAACCGCCGAGGCCTAGAGGGGCCCCGCCCCTCTACCCTGGTCCCCTTCACTTCCAACTTCCGGGCGCGGCGCCACTTCCGGTTCCGGCGGCGGGCTACAAAGCTCTGCGCCTGGTAGTTGGTTTCCTTTTCTCGGAGTCGGCTTGAGGCTTCGAGTTGGCTCGCGAGGCGCCCCCGCCCCGTTCCCTCCACCCTCCGAGGTGGCACCTGCGCAGGTGAACACCCCCTCCCTCCTTCCCTCCATCCCTTCCAACCGCCTCTCTTTCCCCGGCGCACGGTCTGTAGGGAGCGGGGGGCCGCGGTGGCGGTGGCGGGCGCCCTCGGAGTGGAGAAGCCCTGCTCGGGGACTCTGCGGGCCGCTCGGGCTGGCGTGGCCTTGGATTTCGCTTCACCCCGGGAGGAGGAGGTCCTGTCCTGGAGCCTCAGAAGCCTTTTTCCGGTCCGACCTAGGCCCTCCGAGCCGCGCCCATGTGGTGGGAGGAGCCCGGCTCAGCTCCCCGCCTAGACGCCGGGAATTTTCTACTCAGCTGGGTGCTCCCACCACCTCCTGGTCTTGTGACCTTGGGCAAATCCCCTTTCGTCAAGCCTCAGTTTGTTTGTGAATGGAAATGACAGTAACTGTCTTACTGGGTTATCGGGAGGATTGGGTGAGGGAAAGCTTCCGCGGAGTGTCTGGCGTGTACAACTCAACAAATAGCATCGGCTGCTGCTGTTGTTAATAGACAGCTGGGGCAGTAGAGAGTCGTATTGAGAGTTTAACTAGAGTGGCTGAGAGATCACATAGAAGAGTGTAAAACGCTCAGCACAATGTCAGCTAGGAAGTAAGTGCTCAGTAAGTCGGCATTATTAACCGATGAGGGTAAGCATTGTGTCTGGTCACTGGTCTTCTAAAACTGTTAGGATTTATAAACTGGGCAAATCGTGGAGTTGGTCCATCTTTCAGATCCAGCCTTGAGAACTGGCCTCTTGACAGTTGAGACTATTAGAAGTCGGGGTTGTAAAGACCTCTGGGGCTGGGAGCTAGAAGAATTAATAAAAAGGTGTTTTCCTAAGTGTGTTAGGGGTTTTTCACTCAGGTTTTGGGCAGGAGGAGAATGTTTGCTTCCTCTTGAATTAGGAAAGTCATACATAGTTGTAGTTAAAAAGAAAGCAATATAGAAAGATGGAATGAAAAATGTTTCTTCTGTCCCTGCCCCTCAAAAGTAAATACAATTGAAGGTAGTGTTTGTGGATAGATCTGGTCATACATGCTTATGTATGTATTTTAATTTCCCCAGGTGGGATCATACTACACATAGTGATCTGCCCCTTAGTCAGGTGGTGATGTGTTACGGACGTCTGTCTGTATCAGCCCTCACACGCTGAGTTCATGCTTCATAAGGCTGCACTTATTCCGCTGAATGGCTGACAGTACTTTAATTATTTCCCTGTTGATGGTCACTTAGGTTGTTCCCAGGATTTTGCTTTCTCAATGTTTCATCCAGCCTTTCCTTGACTAAATATTTTTTTTTTTCTCCAAGGCACCCCTGAGTTAGGGGATATTTTGCTTTGGGTTTCATCACTCTAGGTTAGTGACAGCTTACTTTTGGGGAAGAGTACATGCTGTTGATTGAGCAAAAACCCAGATAATATGAGAAGAATAAGTGTATTCCAAGAATATCCAAATTGCAGGGTCTGGAATCAATCCAAGATTCCTAGAAAATGGGTCATGAAACATTGAAGAAGAGGTAACTAGGAGCTGAGAACTAGTTAATTCAAGGTAGCTGGTCAGTGTTGGTGATTGTTGGCCTCTGTCAGTTGTTACCCAGGAAACAGATTTGAGACAATCTCTGAGGTGGGAGGGATTTTAAATGTCAACACTCCTGCTTTATGGACTAGGGAGGAATTTAGTTCTTGGGTTGATGAAAAAAAGAGATGGTCTTTGAAAACTGACCACATCATAGGGGTTGTACTCTTTGATTGGACATACCCTGATGTGGAAATTAATTTAGTCATTTCTGTACTGTCACTTGAAGTCTCTCTGTCTCTTTTTTAATAACATAGATTGTAGTTTTCCTATACGTAACCTTTCTCTTGGACTGGGGCCCTAACCCCAATGAAGCAAAGCCTTTTTTTTCTGGCATTTTGCAGGTATTTAGTGTGCCCCTCCTCCCCTCCCTCACTACAGCTGGTTTGCTAATCCTAGAGCTGACAAGCATCCAGAGTTGGACGTGTATGCTACTAGGATTCTGACTAGTTCAGTTTCCCGTATACTGTTTAGAGGAACTTAGAGATTTTATTTATTTGGGAGAGGGAGAGAGAGCACGCGCGCTAGCACATATCTGTGAGCAAGGGGAGGGGTGCTCCAGCAGACTCCCTGCTGAGCATGGAGCTCATGACCTGCAGCTGAAATCAAGAGTCAGACCTCAACCAACTGAGCCACCCAGGCGGCCCTGATTAGACTGATTAGAGGAACTTAGGATCTTGATCTTAACATAGAGGCTTTTCTATTCTTTTTTGTGAAGAGGGGGTTTAGGTTTAACCCTGATGGTAGCTCCTAAAGTACTTTTTACTTTAATTATTTTTAAAGATTTTATTTATTTGAGTGAGCAAGGGAGCAGGAGCACGAGGTGGGGGGAGGGGAAGAGGGAGAAGCAGGCTCCCTGCTGAGCAGGGAGCCTGACATGGGGCTCGATCCCAGGACCCTGAGATCATGACCTGAGCCCAAGGCAGATGCTTAACTGACTGAGCCACCCAGGGGTGCCCCCTAAAGTACTTTATAACACTTGTTATTCTTTTATCATGAAAGAGATGGGGTTAGAAAAGACAGAGTAGATTTCAATGAACAGACCTTTATCTCTTACATTTTAGTACTTCCTCATAACTTGCTTTTGGACATACACAACTCCATAAAAGACATTGGAGGAAGCAAACACCTGGGATTTTAAAGATTTCCCGTCATGTGCATACATAGTTTTTTGGTTTAACATCATGTAAAATACTTTGTAATGCAGGGAAGATGGATGAAAGATTCTCTAGAAGATTGTCTGGTTAGCGAGGCCAGCGTTCTTCATTCTTTCTACTTTGAGAATCTACATTCTTCATTTTGGTAAACCGCTGACCCATTTTTCTCAGTTGTGTCAATTGATCCAGAGGAAACAAAAAGAGAATTTCTAGTAGCTTTATTAAGAAACCCTGTTAAGATTGGAAAGCTGATGGAACTTGGGTCTGGATCAGAGCCATGAGATCAAGGTGGTTTTAACAGTCTCTGGTCTGTTTTTGCTGAGCCTGTCTTTTCTCTGTGTTTAGGAGTCTGCAACCTCCTTTTCCAGAGTTCCAGAATGGAGACTGAAGGGTACCTAGAAACACAAAGAAATAGAGAAGTCCAGAATGATAAAATGAGGTCACCGTCAAATGAGATGATGGCTGAGGAGCCAGAAGTTGTCCTGATATCGGCTCCCCAGGTCCAGGCTCCACGAGAGCCTTCTGGGCTTCCACCAGAGAGCCTCGATGAAGACTCTCTTGAAGACCTTGAGACCATGCCACGAAGGAATCCTCCTAACGCAGCAGCCTCCAGGCAGAGGTTCCGGAAATTCCGCTATGAGGATGCAGCTGGTCCCAGGGATGTCCTCAGACATCTCCAGGAGCTTGCTGGACAGTGGCTGAGACCCGATATTCACACAAAGGAGCAGATTGTGGAGATGCTGGTGCAGGAGCAGTTCCAGGCCGTCCTGCCGGAGGAGCTCAGAGCTCGGGCCCAGAGATGTCAGCCTGGGGTCAGAATCACTGGCTAAGTCCTGCCACAGGGTTCTTGCTCAGCTTACATGTGAGAAGTAACCAAACGTTCTCTTTGTTGCAAGAGCCAACAACAGTCACGGGGAAATGTGAACCTCGGGTTTTTTTTAGCTTGCCTTTGACTAGTTGTAATTAGAATCCATCAGAACCCATGTTTGGACCTCTCTCTGGCTGAGGCAGCTTTAATTCCTGGGACTGAGCTCCAGAAACAGCTTCTGTTAGGACCTTCCTGTTAGGACAATCAGCCTGTTGCTTGTTTTTGCTCTGCTGAATGCCTCCTTTTTTGCACTTTCTGACATGCTTTAATATATTGTTATGTATCCAAAGAGGTAGTTGCTTCAACTTTCAGAATTCTTGATTCTTGCTGTGGTGGCATGAATGGAAGCTTCTGTAACCCCACCAGTAACTCATCTTCGATGTCCTTGAAATATTAAAGTTTGGTCCTTAATCACAATGTCCTGTGGTGATTTACCTTTTTAGCTTTTACTCAGCATTTGAGAAAGTTGAGATTATTATCAGGAGTAGATGCCAGCTAGAGATAAGATAGGAACAGGCCGGGCCTTTGTGTGCAGTCAGAATTTAAATTCAGACTTGAGAAGGGGATAAAACAGGGTCCTCAGAGGTAAGTAACTCTTAGACAAATCTGTTTGATTTTTCTCTTTCCCTATTTCCATGGCCTGTGTTCCACAGCATGTTCTCTTGTCTCCCCCGCAAGAGAACTCACTCTAAAGCCATTTGACCATTCTCTGCTGCTCTTCCTGAAACAGGTCACTCTGGCTTTCCGTGTGTGGAGCCCTGTGCTTTGGTTGACCGCTGAGACAGAGCAGTCAGTGGCTGTGGTGGTGCCCGGCAAAGAGTAAACAGCAGCTGCTTTTCCTCAGTGGGACCCAGTCTTGAACCGTTCTGCCTCTGTGGCCTGGCTCTTGGATTTGTACATCTGCTTCTGTAACCATATGGTGCCAATTCAGAAACTAATCTTCGGGAGAGGGATTGGTTAGCTCCAAGCTGGAACTCCTGTGTATTCTGCTGGTGTGTTAATACTTCCTGTGCCTTTGGGACTGGTCTAGATGGTAGGATACAAATACAAAACCCAGTATAAAGGAGGAGTGTATAGTTTTTGAAGAAAGGAAGACGTTGAGCTCTATGGGTACCATAATAGTAAAACTAGTCTTCCTTTTGGTATCTGATTTTGAGATAGCACTAAGAAAACACATACTTTTTAAGATTTTATTTATTTGAGAGAAAGCATGAGCAGGGGTAGGGGCAGTGGGAGAGGGAGAGAGACAAGCAGACCTCCCCACAGCTGAGCACAGAGCCTGATGTGGGGCTCAATCCCAAGACCCTGAGATCATGACCTGAGCTAATGTCAGCTGTTTAACAGAGCCACCCAGGTGCCCCAAAAACACTTTCCTATTAAAAAAAAATACATTAAAATCAGAGGAGAGAGGAAATAGCCAAGTTAGGGAAGTGAGATTTTAATTGAACTTGAGTGGGAGATCACTGGACAGAATCCCACCTTGAGTGATAGTGGGAATGCTTGGGGAATAGCAAACATACGGAAGGGTGAACTGTGCGCCTTTTATTGACTACGTTAAGCTTTTAAAAACCATTTTATTTTATAAAGATTTTATTTGACAGCACAAGCAGGGAGAGCATCAGGCAGAGGGAGAGGGAGAAGCAGGCTCCCCATTGGGCAAGGACCCTGATGTGGACTGGATCCCAGGGCCTTGGGATCATGACCTGAGTTGAAGGCAGACGCTTAAGCGTCTGAGCCACCAGGGGCCCCTAAAACCATTTTATTTTAAAGATTTTTTTTTATTGGGGCGCCTGGGTGGCTCAGTTGCTTAGGCAACTGCCTTCGGCTCAGGTCATGATCTTGGAGTCCCGGGATCGAGTCCCGCATTGGGCTCCCTGCTCAGCGGGGAGCCTGCTTCTCCCTCTGACCCTCCCCCCTCTCATGTACTCTCTCCCTCTCTCATTCTCGCTCTCTCAAATAAATAAATCTTTAAAGATTTTTTTTATTAAGTCATCCCTATAGACCCCATGGGGGGCTCAACCTCAACAACCCTGAGATCAAAAGTCATAGTTCGACTGAGCCATCCAGGCGCCCCATAGGTGAAGCTTTTCTATTCCTAATTCTGAGAGTAAAATTTAACACTGGCAAAGGAGTTAGCAACCATGGGAGGGTCAGAGTATCTCTAATACTTCTGTTTGTTCAGAGCATTATGAAGGTATTTCCTTTAGTCTGCAAAGATCAGGAACTCCTGGCGTTCCAATTTTAGTATATGTGCTGCCGAAGAGAGCACAGGAACTCCTGGTGTTAAGAATTTCCTGATTTGTACCAGTTTCTTAGCTTCGATGCTGCTTCGATGATCTGGAATATAGTGTGCAAGTAAAGGAGCCGACTTTCCAGGTGGACCCAAAAGTTACCACCTTAGGGATTTTATGGCTTGACAACGGAGGTGTCCTGAGTTGAGTGAACTTAGCACAGATTTTCTCAACATGGGCAATTTGGAGCCAGAGAATTCTCTTTCATGGAGACTTGTCTTGTACATTATAGGATGTTAGCAGCATCCCTAGTCTCTCCTCACCAGATGCCAGTAGCATCCCACTGATGAGACAACCAAAAATGTCTCCAGACATTGCCAAATGTTCCTTCGGGGCAAATTGGCCTTATAGTTGAGAACTACTGATTTAACAGGAGAGTTCATCTGAAATACGCCACAGATTACCTTTGGATCCCTGGTCTCTTAAGCTTAATGTTGAATTCAGACAGCTATAGGAAAAGTGGTATAATATGTTGGGTTTCATATTGGAGTGTCTGGCTGGATCAGTTGGTAGAGCATGTGACTTAATCTCAGAGTCATGACTTCAAGCCACATTTTGGGCATGGAGCCTACTTAAAATTTTAAAATACTGGGTTTCATATTCCCTGTATGTGTTTGGGTAATGTCACCTACTCTGGCAAATCTTAAGTTCTTTGATACAAAGATTGAAATTACCCCTCCAACTCCAGCCGTTCTATTGAGATGGTTTACTGTGTGCTAGGATAGATGCATTCATGATTCATTTAATCCTTATTGTCATCTGGCTTTACCTATTCATATAAATACACCTGCTTTACAGATAAGAAAACAGGTTCACCAGTTACACAAGATGGCCAAGAAAATGGTGGAGCTGGGATCTAAGCCTGGGATTTCTTTCCCCCTAGTCTTGGGCTTTTTCTATCATGTCTGGAAGTAGGAATTTAACAAGCATCTCTTGAGAATCTCCTGCATGCAAGATGTTTCTTCTTTTGCTTTTCTTTTTTTCTTCATCTTACAATTTTTTATAAAGATTTTATTTGAGAGAGAGCTTGAGAGAGAGCACAAGCAGGGGGAGGGGCAGAGGGAGAGGCAGACTCTCAGCTGAGCAGGGACCCTGATGTGGGGCCCCATCTTAGGACCCTGGGATCATGACCTGAGCCTTATCTTATTTAGAATAACATTTCTTAGCTTCATTTGATAGAGAAAAAGTATGAAAACAAAAATGGCCCGTAATTTCACTTCTAGGAAACTCCCACTGACATTTTTTGAAGCAAAAGATATATTTGCATGTGGATAGAAAAATCCAACAATATAGAAGGGAATACAAGGAAAATTTTTTTTAAAAAAAGGTTTTATTTATTCGACAAAGTATAAGCAGGGGGAGCGGGAGAGGGAGAAGCAGGCTTGCCAACTGAGCAGGGAACCTGACATGGGGCTCTATCCCAGGACCCTGAGATCAGGACCTGAGCCGAAGGCAGACGCCCCGGAATAAAAGGAAAATTTAAAGACTCTTCCCATTAACAGTCTGTTACATGTCCTTCCAGAAAACACGAATTACACAGATGTAAGCACATACATGTGTGTGCACACACATTTATCCCTTTTTTATTTACACAAAATACATGTATGTTTAGGTTATATATTTTTCTTGCCCAGTAAGTCTTGGGGTCTGTTGCTGTCAACATACAGAGATTTGCTTTATTTAAAAAAAATTTTTTTAAGCAGCTGCAGAGTAGTTCCTTATATGGCTAATACCTAGCCTTATATTTTCAGTAACAAACGCAAGGGAGAGTATTTAGGTATGGGGTCAAACCTCCAAAGCATAAGAGATTTAGAGAGGTAAGTGACAGATCCACGACTCAACCCCTCAACCCCCACATCCTGAAACCAGAACTGGTACAATTCACAGCTGCCCAGCACTGTCTCCTGGCAACCCTGTGGTCTAGCTCTTTCTCATGGAAGTGAATTTACAGATGAAGTTCCTTGCCCCAAACAAACCTGGTAAGAGGCGAGGCTGGAGTCCATCTCCATTTCATCTGGCTCCAGCCCCATGCCCTTGCCCTGAGGTCACACCACCTGGGTATCAAAGAGCAGACCAAGTCCAGAGTTTCAAGGGCTCCGGGAATTTGAGAGGACTGTAATTCCCTATCTCTGTTGACACCTCCCGAGAGGATTCCTGTGCTTTCTCTTTGCAGTCCGCACGACCCAGCTGCCACGAATGTCTGTCATTGTCATTTCTTGAGTCCATCTAGAGCCTAGTTCTAAAGAACCCTAAACGCTTTTAATTCTGTGAGACGGAGGAGGAGGAAAATGCAGAACAGCCCGAGGGAAGTCCTTCTCAACTGTCCCGTGCTGGATTTTCCCTTTGTGATTATTTTGACCCCCAAGTTCTGCAAAAGAATAATTTCATCTAGTTATTGAAAAATGCGCCTGCCAGATGGCTACTGGTGAAAACCAGTGTTGGGACACAAGGTAATACGAGATTCCTAGCAACTGGCTGGGGCCATGGAAAAATCTGTCATCTATTGGGCAGCTACTCCCTGAGCAGTGAGTGGGTGCCAGGGCCTGGCTGCCGGGGAGGAGGCCAGCTCTGCGGGGTGTGGGGGCCATGAGGAGTCCACTGTGATGGCGGTGGTGGTTGGAGCACTCAAATGTAACTGGCCCTTCCAGGAGCATCGTGTGTGGTCACTTTTCACAGGCAGCTCAGTGCAATGCTCTTGACAATGGCTTGACTATTTTGCTAAGCATTTTCCACCCACTGTCAGGCATTTATTGGACTTTTTCCCTTGGCCTGGAATGCCTCTCCCCCACGCCTCCCCCAGTCTTTGCCAGCCTACTCCTCCTCATTCTTTATAACGCAGATAGGCATGGTCACCTTCATGAAGCTGCCTTTGATTTGTGGCTCGAATTGGCATCAGAAGCCCCCCCTGTGAGCTCCTCTAACACCTTAGCTTTCGGTACAGTCCCTGTTCATTCAGCAAATGTATGTGGTGTCCCCGATATGCCACGCCCTGTTCTGGGGGTCACTGTGGCACAGCGTCCAGGCTGTGTCCCCAGGCAGATTGTGGGCTCCGTCAAGAGGGAACCTCTATGTGCTCGGCCTCCAACGCAGGGCCTGCCCGTGGTGGATCCTCAAGGAACA